ATCTGCAGAAATGAATCAGAGAAAGATAGTGGCAACTAGTGGTTGGCCACATGGTTTTAAAATGCCTGTTAGCATTTTCAGCCCAGCCCTATCCTTGTGAAGGGAAAGAAAATAAACTCAAATGGAAAAGAACATCAAACGTCTGGAGTTAAAAAAAGGCTTTCTGATTAGAGATAACAGGGGTTTACTTCGACAGCTTACTGAAAGAAAACTCCCAAGGGTGTCCATGTTTTCTCCTCTATTCAAAAGAAGGGGAATTTCTGTAATTTATTTTTCATTTTCTAAATCTTTTCAGTGGGGGCAGAATGGGGTTGGTATCATCCTGTTGTTTTGGTAACTATAGTTTTGATAAAACATAGAAGAGCAGCTTTTATTTGCTAGTAAATTCTGTCCCATAATGATTATAATTTTATAGCACAAATTAGATCAGAAAGACTGATTTGTGCAGAAATCTTTAGCTCTCATTTAGAGTTGACATACATTTAGTGCTTAGAATTTTATGCTTACCCAGAGCATTAATGTTTCATTTTACACAGCATTAGTACATTAGTACATGATCTCAAGGATGGGTAACTTTGTTAGGTCTCCCGCTTAGATGGCTCTCTCTTTTTCCTGTTCTCTTGCTTTTGGTTGTTTGGGATTAATATCCAGTGTTCACAGTAGTTCGGTGTCCATGAGAAGAAATCAAAGATAAAGTTTTAGATATGAATCTTTATAGTGGCTGTGCACTTAATAGGATATCAACCTCAGTTAACCATTTTTAGAAAAATTTAAAGTATCTTTTTTTTTCTCATTGATTTGAAGCATGCTATATCCTGCTTCTGTCATTGAGCTTTTCAACAAATGGGTTTTATTGGTTCTATTTTTGCTAAATAGGTGTCAACATATATAAAGTTAAGTATGATGTTTTAGTAATGTAACATAATACAGAGATACTAAAATTGATTAGTAGTATTTCTTAAATTTGCTGACAATTTAAGGCATCAGATGTTTAATGCAGCTAATAAATATAAGCAGGTTACTGTCTGAATGACTATGGGTAACTGTACTTTGTATGTAGTGTATAAAACATTGAGGACTGTTGGGTTATAAACAGTTCTGAGGCATGCTCCTGAAAGTTGTTGTTGAGCTTTGAAAGGTTTAGTAGTAATGATGCATTAATTGACTTTTTACCTGGAAGAGTAATAGGATACTTATAAAAAAAATCTTGACAGAGGTTTGGTAGACAGTGTCATGTATTTATAGAAACAAGGTTAGGACGAAATTGTTTGAATCTGAATTTGAAAGGATAAGGATAAGAGTCATTCATAATTTAAGTAGAAATGCTCTGTTTCAGTTTTTATTAAGAAATGTACTGCTGCTTAGCATTATGAAGGGTTTCATCTGTGCGCTATGCCATCATACTCCTATTTTTTCCCTGAAGTTCTTGGGAAGGGTAAGAAATATTGTTTTTTAGTATGAGGAATCCCTTAATCTTTTCTGTTTGTTCAAAGAAAGTGTAATAGCCTTTTCCTGGTTTTGTTCCTTGTTTTTGTTTTGCGTTGTGAGACACTTACTGAGCTGCCTTTTGCAGGTAATTATAGAGTTTGAAGGACAGCTCTGTTGGCTCCATCTACGCCAGTGAGAATCTTGTGGCTCTAGTTTGATTTAGGAGCAGTGTTTTCTTGGGACTGATTTCACTATGTTTGATTATTTGACAAACATTATATGACTAATGTTTGATTATTTATTCATTCTGTCCTTAGCCAATTATGGTCTGCTAAGTATTTCAATTTTCATTGACATTTTTAAATGGAAGGCTGTTTTTCATTTGAATCACAGCAGTAAAATCTTTTGATTGTTTTCAAAATTGCATTTAAAGCTTGAACTTTTGAAAATAATTTTATTTGATGTGAAAGTGATTGGCTGTATGCAGTAGAATGAGAATAATCAATTTGATATTCTTTTACTCATTGAACAGACAGATGGACGGACCTAAGCTTTATTTGTGTGGGAAAAAAAGCCATGAATTTATTACATTTTGGAATCTCTTTCTGTTAGAAACAGTCATTTATACTGTCTTAAAATTGACTAAAGTGTATTTTTAAAATTGTGTTTCACATTTAAACCTCAGGAATACACTGAAGTTTTAGCACAGTTAAATCAGTTCATGAAATGTTCTATCCTAACCAGAGACCGCAAAAGAGGTCTGGGTTGTGTGGTTTCCTCCTCCTTTTCCCTTAACTGACAGAGGTTTTCCTATCTTGGCAGCTGTTTCCTACAAAGCAGTCATCAGTCCCTGATTTCTTCTTTCTATTTCTTCCCACAAACAAGGACTCTTTCAAATAGCCTGTGACCAAAGACAGACTGATCTTGAGTTACTTGAAGAAAGTGGAAATGTGTTCAAGAGTTGTGCATGTAGGCAAGCCGCCCATATGCATTAGTTCATTGAGATAAAAGTACCTATTACAACCAAAAGCTGGATAGTCAGGATTCTTTGCTTGAACTGGGAGTATTCCAGAGGCTGACTTAATTACTGCAAGTAACATTAATGCACCTCTTCCACATATTAAAATTATTCTAATTGCTTGATACAGTGATTGACCAGTCTGTGGGATTTAAGAAACTGTTCATGATTGGCCTTTTAAATGTGACAGGCCATGAAATTGTCTCTCTGTGCTTTATATAAAATAGCTTGTAGTTTTAAGGCAGGTAACTTTGAATAGCAGTTGTAAATGAAACATTTACTTTTGGTTTTGTCTTTTGAATAGTCTTTGGGAGCTCAGAGTGAAAAATGAATAGAGAGCCAGCCAGTTTTGCAGGGTTGTATGCCATGTGTTCTCTATGAGATTAATTTTTGATGTATCTTTTTTCTTTGTGTATTTTTGGCATATTGAGGAGGAAGTTTGCTTTTTCTTTTGTTATTGTTTTATTTCTGAGAAAATCTGAGGTGTTCTTAGAACTAGGTAAGCCAGTTCTGATTCCTCTCATTAGGATGCCTAATTTTGTCTTCATGGGTTTTAGAGCTGAAAAAACTAGGTTGGTTATGGATCATGGAAGTGTGTATAGGGAAGCAGCTTTATCTCAAACTATAGGCATGATAAAATAAACTCATTATAGACTGTCTTGCTAATTCCTTTTGTAGTTCTATGAATCTTAATATATAAACACTAGATAATAGCTTCAGATTAATTTTTTATGTTCTTTCTGGTATGTTTGTTGGCAAAGCAAGATAGTGACTTTATAGCTTGATCAGTATTCCAAACCATTTAGAATCTGACTCTTTTTCCATAGAAGTTACATTGTAGGGAACTGATAGTAGAATATAGTGAGCTGCTATAATAGAATCACATATGCTGCATTCAGGGGTTTCCCAGGTTGCTCAGCTGGTAAAGAATCTCCCTGCAATTCAGGAGACCCTGGTTCGATTCCTCGGTGGGGAAGTTCCCTTGGAGAAGGGATAGGCTACCCACTCCAGTATTCTTGGGCTTCCCTGGTGGCTCAGATGGTAAAGAATCCACCTGTAATGCGGGAGACCTGGGTTAGATCCCTGGGTTGGAAAGATACCCTGGAGGAGGACATGGCAACCTACTGAGTATTCTTGCCTGGAGAATCCCCATGGCCAGAGGAGCCTGGCGGGCTGCAGTCCTTGGGGTTGCAAAGAGTCGGACACAACTGAGAGACTAAGCACAGCAGCATGATGCATTAAGCACATAGCAAATTCAGAATACCTTAACTGCTGTGAAATGAAAAGCTCAACATTATCTAGGGGAAATTTGGTTTTTTAAATTTTCTTTATGCTTTAGAGATAGCATCTAAATTATGTAAGAGTTCATTTTGAGTTATAGACACAACCTCATAATGTGGGTAGGTATACCCATCACTGCTTCACTTTAAAAAACTATTTGTAAAAGGTTAAGGAGAGCTTGGGAAAACTTTACAGGAAGAATTTGTAATTTCTTTCTGCTCAGATGCTAGATGAGGAGGCTGGCTGTGTTTGGGAACTGCCTTCATAGTGTGTATGTTGTAAGGCTGGTACTTACTCTGACTCCTCATCCTATGCTAGAAAGGAGTAAAACACTGCTGTAAGTGCCTAGCAAATGATCTGGTTTCATGTGATCCTAGGATCGTAGAAATGCTGATTAAATCACACCTGAGTTTTTGTATCCTCTTCATTTGAAGAACTGGGCACGTAAAAGCTAGTCAGAATTAAACTTGGCTCTTCGTTTTAGTGATGGTGATGCAAACTTGGAGATATATAGCCATTATGGTCTAGGTTTTTATTTGGGTCCAGTGGATGTGTTAAACTACTCAAGGACATGGGTTTGACCTTACTAAGTTTTGCTGTAAGAATAACTGATATATGAAAATCTAAAACTTGAAATATTTAAGAGACAATCACATTATTAAATGATTCCTATGAATAAGTAGCAGTCAGATAAAAACAGTTTGCAGTGTAGTGTTTGGAATGCCATAATTACATAAGCTACAACCATATATTAAAAATTGTACACCATTGAGTTGAAAAATAAACTGTTTCATTATATCTGTAGTCTACTTTACTAGATAATAGGATAAAATAGTAGATAATACTGCTGTTACCATCACTAGAAGCAAAGTATATGTATTAATGAAATTTTGTTGGAGGTATTGTATTAATATATTAAAGCTGGTAAAATGACTACTGTGTGGCATTGAAAGACAGTTATTTATTCTGGAATAACTTTAATCTTTCCAAGAAAAATTCATCTTTGGGAATTTATTTAACTATTTGCATTCATATGTTCTGATTACCTTTAACTTGAGGGGCTTTGCTTGTTTTCAGAATGCAGGGCTCAGATATCTAGTGTATAGGAGCAGTTTCCTGTTGAATATAGAATCAAAATATATGCCATTTTTTTTAATACTTCTGAGAAGGAGGGAAGAAAGGTTGGAAAGAGGGGAGTTGTTGCTATTGTTTTTTCATTTTTTGTTGACATTGCGGGACCATAGAGTAAATGATGGATTTGTTTGTTTTTCAGATATGAGGATCAATGATGCAGACTGCTGGGTTCGATGAAGCTGGGCATTTATAACTAGATTCATTAAGGAATACAAAGAAAATATTTAAAGGGATCAATAATGGTGTCTTCTGGTTGCAGAATGCGAAGTCTGTGGTTTATCATTGTAATCAGCTTCTTACCGAATACAGAAGGTAAGATACAGTTTAAATTTTTACTTTTTAAGTTAAGGAGAACTTAAAATATTCAAATTTTTTTTTATATATAGGAGTGACTAGAATGAATATTTTTTATTATTTTAGAATTAAGCATTAAATAAATTTCCTGAATATATTTTTTTTCTGATGATTGAATTTTTTTTTTACATAGCTGTGTATTATATAAAGTGCTAGAAGTCTAAATTTATATTTTGCATATATTTATAAATATAATCATCATAAATAATCCTGAGAGAACTAACCAAAAGCTTTGCTTTGGTATATATTTTGCATTTATTGACTAAATTTTTCCAGTAAAATTGAAAATATTTCATGATAACTCTTTCATTTCATTTTTAGTTTGGTCTGCTTCCTAAGTGTGTGGTCATTGTTCTAAAACTTAAAAATAATTTTTTTTAAAATTTTCTGGAAAAAGTTGTTTTTTTACTAGTGTTTCCTTTCTCATGTTATCTTTTCGAAGACAGACCTGATTTTTGAAGAAAAGAATACACTTAGAGTGTTAATGAACTAGTTGAAACCATAATTACTATATGGATTTTCTGGTATCCATTATTTTTTTAGTCTTACATATTATTTCCATGTGAAAATGACACTCTTTCAGGTGCTTTTTTACAGAGTAGGTCAGAAGTTAATGTGGCACTAAAATATGTTCATTTTATGGCTAGTTGGTAGTGGTAGTCATTGTATTCGGTATGTAAAATCTGTGAAAAAAAATGTACAATCTCTGAGAAATGCATGTAAAATGTAATGGATTTTTTTGTCACAATTAAGTATTCTTGATGAAAATGTCTTAGTATTTTAAAATTGGCTTTATATGTACTTTTAAATGGTCCCATCCCATTTATACCTATTAACAAAATAGTAGGTGGGAAAAAAGAGGCATACTTTCAGTTAATAGATTGTAGATTATCATTCCAGTGTCTTTGTAATAAGCTTCAAAACCTTAATGTTTTTCTGTTCTAGCCCCTACTTTCAGTATATTGATGTAACTTAATAATGTAATTTAGATAAATAACAAGTTGAGAAAAATTTTAAAATAAGAACTTCTGTGTTCAGGAAGTAAATAATGCTCACCTGGGTTTAAGTCACACATGAAAGTTGCAAATAAGTTAGTATTTTATTTTCAGAAGATACTGCTCTTGACATCAAAATTGAAAGATACATGAAATCTAACATTAAAATGTAGTGTCTGTGCCGCCTTTCTTGCTTCTACTTGAGCTTAGTCTCCGGCATTGCCGTGCAGACTGACTCATGTAGAAGCAAGAAAGGAAAGCTTACACCACCAGACAATTTTTGGAGGTCTTATGAGATTAAGCAAGACCAAAAAAAAAAAAAAAAAAAAAAAAAAAAAAAAAAAATGTAATGTCTGAATGAATAGTACTGTAATGATAAACAACGAGCAGAAACTGAGTTGATAATATCAATCTCTGGCTTGAAATTATGAAAATCTTGTGTGTCATGTATAATTTTGCATCTATATTTTGGGGGGGGGGGAACTAACTGCATTCCTGCTGTTATGTTTGAATGTTTTTATACATTTAAAAAGATTCCAGGTGTGGATCAATGGCTCATTAGTCCACATAATAAAAAAATTTCCAATGGAGATGAGACCCTTTACTGCCACAGTTGCTTAACTCAGCAGGGGGCTAGCAAACTGGCAACTTTTTCAGGAGATACTGCGGTTTCATTTCTAGTGTCACCTATTAGGTCAGGATTCATATCTGCTGTTAAGAGAATTTCATTTTTTGGTGCATGAGGCCAGGGTGTGTTACTTTTGAAGCAGTTCCCTCCTACAGGTAAAGAGAACCTGGGAGGAACCCACACTGCTTGCTGTGAGAGTACACACAGCTACTGCGCACCGCACTGTTAACAATGCTGTTCCCGTGTCACGTGGTTTTGTCTTAGAAAAAGTTTTATGTGACGTGATAGACCTTTATTGCCAGCCAGCAGATAATGCCCTGTGAACACCTATAGAGAAAACCTATCAAAGTTGGGTATGAGAGCACAGGAAAGAAGATATAAAGTAACCTTTTAGCCATTGAGTTTCTTTGGGTCCCTTACTTGATTGTTACCTTTTTAGATCTTAGGGAGATGAGCACTTTTTGTGTCAGCTCCTGAATTTTGCTGATAAACTCAGATAAGGCTTTTTAGGTGGTTTCTTCCCTCCTTCCTCATTTATTGCGTGACTAAATTGAGCCAGTTGTTTAGGGTTCAGACATGGGCAAGTCACTGTCCCTTCTCTTGAGGAGCTTGTGGTCTTGCGGAGGTCTAAACCTCAAATAACTACTGGAGGTCTGCAGCAGGCAGAAAAGTGCTTGCCGGGGGACCCATGCTTGCCTTTCCAGTATTTAGCCTGCTTTTGCCAATCTTTTGATTTTTCGGTAGAAACCAGACATTAGATTTTTAAGTAGTAGCAACTAATTTAGACTTAAAAAAAAATGTCTGTGTTTTGTGTTCAGCCAGGGACCATGCCTTCCTTTTCAAGGCTTTTTTTTTTTTCTGTTTACAGAAGTGTTTTACCTTAGTATATGATTTTAAAGACTTAACATACTTTTAGATTTGTTTTACATGTCTGTATATGAAAGGTAAATTTACACATATGCAAGAAGGAATTACATATTTGTTCTCAGTCCAGGCATATATTACAGTTATGTCATGTTTTGTGTGCATGTTAAAGAGCAAATCACTAAGCCTATTTTTGTGTGTTTTACCATGGAAAAAGCTAATTACATAAAGGTTTAATTGCTAGAATTAGCTTATCTTATATTGCTGTCTCCATTTTTTTTAATCAGCTAGTGTTTAATAGAATAAAGTTTCATCCATTAAAATTTACTGATTTTTGCAAAGTAGGAACAATATTTCATTGTTTATCCTTGCAGGTCTTTCCTGTGTATTTTTGAAAGTTATTTTTAAAAGTTTCAAGAAAAATGATTATAAAAAAACAGAAAATACTCTTAAGTTTTTTTAGAGTTTATTTTACTCCCGGAGAACTAACCTCAAGCCTTTCAAAAGTCAGTTCTGTTGAGAAAACTGTTGTGCTTTTGTTCTTTAGGCCAGTTTTTATAAGGCTAGTAACCCCTTGTGGAATCATGTATCAGTAAGTAGGAAAGTAAATTGAATTTTTGTGTCCTAGAGAATTAAATTATTCTATATAATGGAGCCCCTAGCAAGTATAAGTCAAGATATATGAAGGCTTGCCAAAGTGACAAGTTACAAATAATAGCAGTTCTTCAGCAAAATAGGCAATATGGATATCAGGTTGAGTTCTTTATGCAGTGAGTATGTAATTAGATTTCATTAGTTGAAATTTTAGTTAATTAACTCAGATTATATTGTTGCTTATTTCAAAGAAATAATGCCAGGTATAAATAAATATTATGTCAGGTATAAACTAAATGCCAGATATGCCAGATACAGCTTCAAATATTTATATACACACACACACACACACACACACACATTAAGAAAATTTAAGAACATAGCTGTAGAAATAGTATCTTAGCAGCTTTTATATTTTAAATTTTTAAGAACATTTTACAGTGACTTTTGTGTTAATGATGTCTCAGTAAAAAAATATTGGCTGTAGGATCTAGTTAGGTGGCAGGAAAAAAGTTGATCTAGGGGTCACATATGAATTTTAAAAACCTGTTTTGGCCCATAAATATTTTTTCAGACCTCTATTTATTTATTCCTTTTAATCTTTCATTCTTTTATTGGTACATACATATAATGAGCTGTTCACAATTTATATTTACACACACACACAAAGTCACCTTCACAAGGGCAAGGATCTTTTTTGTTGTTCATCAACATGCAAGTGACTAGAACAATGCCTGACTTATGGTAAGCAGTTACTATATATCCATCACATGAATAGCATAAATCTTTAAAGAGGGTCATGGTCTCAATAAGTTGAAAGCTTTAAACAGTTGTAATAACAGAGTGATAAGTGCCATGATGGTGATTATTTCAGAAGCATTGGGATAAAGGGTAGTTGAGTGGGTATGTATGTGTCTGGAAATGCTTCTAGCCTGAAGTGATGTTGATTCTTGAGCTGAATCTCAGTATGAGCTGAACAAGCTTGGTAAAGACAATCGTGAGCATGGTAGTAGAGAAAAAACCAACATAGAGAATAGCACGGATGTGGAATAAAGTATTGCAGTGGTTCTTAAACTTGAGGAGCAGATGAATCACCTAGAAGTTCTTGGGTGGGGCCCACATATTTGCATTTCTGACACATTTCTGGGATGAGGCTGATGTTGCTCAGCATCACACTTAAGAACCACTGTGATATTATATATGTGCAGGTGGTTGAGGTAAGGTATATGGCAACATGAGTGTGGATATAAACTAACTTTAAAAGGTTTTTTCAGACAAAGTTATGATTTAATTCACTGTGATTCAGAAGCGGTAACCAGTTATGTATACATTTTCATATGATTCTTTATCCCTCTGATCAGGCTCCTTGGGCATAATTTTAGGCTTCAAAAGGGGATTTTATTATTTTTTTCTCTTTTTAAACATTGTACTGAGAAAGAAAACAAGTGGAAAATTGACTCCAGATTGAAAAAAACAACATATTTTCTGTTGAGGGTGAATGTTATATTTTCAACACTTGTAACCCCTTGCTTCAGTTTGTCTATTCTCATTGTTATAATTTTTTTCTTTTTTATTGTTGCTGGGCTTCACTACATGGCCTTGCCATGATAACACTGAATTGACCTACTGTAGGGACTTTAGATTTCCCAGTCTACCAAAATTGACTACTTTTGTTCATTTCAGAACATGTGATTAGTTTAAAGCTAGGAGGTAAATTTTCAGCAAGGTACATGGGGATTTGGCTGTACGACTCCTATTAAACTTAATGGGAGTTATAACTCCCATTAAATTAATAGGAACTGTACCATATATATGTGTTCACTGCATGGCAAATATAACTTTATTTTTTAATTTGCAAATTATGTAAATTAACACTG